AATGTGTTGCATGCTGCCATGCTCAAGGCTGGGTGTGTGAGGCAGCAAATAGGGTGTATAGGCTGGAATTCTTGCCTACAAGCCCTTTTGGTGTTGTATTTGTGGGGCGAGGGAAAGAAGAGCAGGCAGCACGAGCCCAGGTAATACAACAAGGAGACAGGGCTCTTCAAAAAGCAGCCATCATGGTGGGAAGGCACTTGCAGGAGACAGAGAGGAATGACCCTGGCCCGGGTTACGGCAATGCTTAGGCACGCAGGTGTCATTATAAGGAGGCTGGGAGAAAAGGTGGTGTAGCTTCTGGGACCTGAGGAACAGATGGTATCACCCAGAAAAGGCCATGAGGCTCACCATTCCAGTTCTCTGCATCATTACAATGAAGAGGACATGAGGGGACAGCCATGGAATGAGAGGACTGAAGGGGATGATTTTAAGTCTCTCTTCTTTTCAAAACAAAGATGCTATTCTGTAAACTTCTTGGCAAGGTTAGTATGAACACTGAGCTTCAGATTTAAGCAGCTGCCCCAATCAGCACCTAAATATGTAACCTCAGGAAAGTTACTTAAGCTTCTCTGAGGCACAGTTTTATCATCTGTGACAGATATAAGTAACCCTACACCTCACAGGGTCATTATGAGGATTAACAAAATGACATATATAAAGCACTTAGCTCCATACTTGATAGGAGCTTAGAATAATTAACACCAACATAGTACTTTGTGCCAGGCAGTTCTCAGAGTTGTACATACATTACAACTACTCTAAGTACAACTATTATCCCCATTTTATAGATGAGAAAAGAAGCAGATAAAAGTTACATACTTTGCCTAAAGTTACATAGCTAGTAAATTGCAACTATGCCATTACTATTATTACTATTAGTACTGAATGTCACTTACTGCCATTTATACAATTCAGATTGATAAGAGGAACACACTTTTGCGAGAAATTTTCTTCTGCACTGCCTCTTAACTCTGCAACCAATTCTAAGTGAATCCTGAATCTAGCTAAAATAAAACTCCCTGCTGTCTTAAACCGTTTCTGGAGTAAATAGACAGATAAAGGCTGAATGTGGACTTTGCTCATGTGGTTCTCTCCTTACCTGAGTTAGAGGACGGCTCTACAGAGGTCAGGACAAAGGAGGCCTGGGAGGGGCCCAGGGATGTTTCTATGTGTGTATGCATCCCCAGGATTTAGAGCTAAGTAGTTGTGTCCTCATGGGACAGCCCTTGATCCTGGGGCAAAACCCCAGGCTGGGACACTGGGACATCCAGGGAGGAAGTCAACAGGCAAGTAATGACCAGCCCAGAAGTCTTGGCTTTACTAACTCACTACACCCACTGGTGGAGTCTCCTCATACTGGAGCCAGACTTCTGTGACTTCAGTCACAGTGCTCTCTTGGATGGTCATTAACCTGACAACTATTTTGACTACAGGTGCCTGTAGGTATGTATTTGATTTACTTTAAGGAAAATAATGCTAGCAGAATAAAATCTCCAAACATGTTTCTACAGTAGACTTTTTTCCAGTAGTGCTATACTACAACCACTCTAGCCTTCCAAATAAACACCTAACAAACCAAACAGACAAGTTTATAATTATACAGTCTATTTTTTCAGCTCATTTGGCTTAATGTACATGAAATGGTTTTTAATTGCCACTCTTTTAAGCAAGTAACTCGATAAGAGTATTGGCAGAATCATGGCAAGTAATCACATTAGGGTGTACATAAAGGAGGCATGGGAAAAATGCAGTCAATGATATGAATACTTTAAAAATTAATTACAACCTAGATTTTTGATAAAAACCTGTGACATAATTTATATTCTGCTTTCTAAAGTAAAAACCAACCATATAATCCCTTCCATTGATAACTAACTTTCTAGTCTTCCAGAGCTTCATTAAAATGCTTCATTCTCTTGCCTTCACTTGCAAACCCTGTGCCCTGCCAAAGGGAGAGAGCTAGAAGAGCCCATATGAAACATACAATACACTTCTGTATGAGCACTTCTCACTTTTTCTGCATTGTGTATGCCTTGAAAGTGAGAGAATTCTAAAACCCAACGCAAACATTATCTCAACTGGCTATATATTCTACTTGAGCGTAAAAATTCATTTTTTTCAGCCTGCTCATTCACCATCTCTTTATTCAATAAAACACGCATTTTGCAAATCACAACATGCAAACACAATAAAAGCTGCACTATAATTGTTCCTATTTTAATGACCCTGTGAACCATCTTTCAGAGTGAATGCCTTTTTACAATACTCCCCGGAATGACCTAAGAGAAAAAAGGAAATTTCAATCAACATATCAACCTAAAAATTACATGACATTCAGTACCAAAACAGAGATAAAGACCAATGGAACAGAACAGAGGCCTCAGAGGCAACACAACACATCTACAACCATCTGATCTTTGACAAACCTGACAAAAACAAGCAATGGGGAAAGAAGTCCCTGTTCAATAAATGGTATTGGAAAAACTGGCTAGCCATGTGCAGAAAGCAGAAACTGGACCCTTTCCTGACACCTTACACTAAAATTAACTCCAGATGAATTAAAGACTTAAACATAAGACCTGGCACCATAAAAACCCTAGAAGAAAATCTAAGCAAAACCATTCAGGACATAGGAGTAGGCAAGGACTTCATGAACAAAACACCAAAAGCATTGGCAACAAAAGCCAAAATAGACAAATGGGACCTAATCAAACTCCACAGCTTCTGCACGGCAAAAGAAACAGTCACTAGAGTGAATCGGCAACCAACAGAACGGGAAAAAATTTTTGCTGTTTACCCATCTGACAAAGGGCTGATATCCAGAATTTACAAAGAACTCAAACAGATTTACAGGAAAAAAACAAACAAGCCCATTCAAAAATGGGCAAAGGATATGAACAGACACTTTACAAAAGAAGACATACATGAAGCCAACAAACATATGAAAAAATGCTCATCATCACTGGTCATCAGAGAGATGCAAATCAAAACCACATTGAGATACCATCTCACGCCAGTTAGAATGGCGATCATTAAAAAATCTGGAGACAACAGATGCTGGAGAGGATGTGGAGAAAAAGGAACACTTTTACACTGTTGGTGGGAGTGAACATTAGTTCAACCACTGTGGAAGACAGTGTGGCGATTCCTCAAGGCCTTAGAAATACAAATTCCATTTGACCCAGCAATCCCATTACTGGGTATATATCCAAAGGACTATAAATCGTTCTACTATAAGGATACATGCACAAGAATGTTCATTGCAGCACTGTTTACAATAGCAAAGACCTGGAACCAACCCAAATGCCCATCGATGATAGACTGGATTGGGAAAATGTGGCACATATACACCATGGAATATTATGCAGCAATCAAAAAGGATGAGTTCATGTCATTTGTAGGGACATGGATGAATCTGGAGAACATCATTCTCAGCAAACTGACTCAAGAACAGAAAATCAAACACTGCATGTTCTCACTCATAGGTGGGTGTTGAACAGTGAGAACACATGGACACAGGGAGGGGAGCATCACACACTCGGGTCTGTTAGAGGGAAATAGGGAGGGACAGCGGCCGGGCGGTGGGGAACTGGGGAGGGATAGCCTGGGGAGAAATGCCCAATATAGGTGATGGGGAGGAAGGCAGCAAATCACACTGCCATGTGTGTACCTCTGCAACAATCCTGCATGTTCTTCACATGTACCACAAAACCTAAAATGCAATTTAAAAAAATTACATGACATTCATGGAAAAATTTAAAGAAATGTACTTTTAACAGAACAAAATTTGGGTTAGACTAGGTTTGCATTTATAATTCAAAGTCCTTCATAAGCAAGTCACCATCATCACTGTCAATAATCAAAATGTTTTTCTGTAACTTACTGTTCCACTTCTGTTTCCCAAAACCCACTCTATTCTGTGAGGATTTCCTGCGCTTAACACATTTAAACTCAAGAAATCGCTAAAGAAAAACATATTTAATAAATGGGAAATAAAATGCTTTTTATGCTGACTATATAGCATCATGGATATGAAGAGACTCACTTATATTATCACTCTTTAAAAGCAGATAAAACAGCAGACAGCAGTGTGTACACTGCAGAGTTCTGTTATGCAACTCAGAACAGGTCCCAAGTCAAGAAGAAAGTTAAACGCAAATGCACGTAACACTTTGCAAGCCAGTATCAGGTACACTAAACTTTCTTCCTATCATAAAAACTTATACACTTCTATAAAAAAAGTAGTATGACCCTTAGTACCTACCTGCATATAAAAGCTTAAGCGGCAAGGACTGGCATTACCCAGCAGTTCTGCAAGGCAGGGAGCCTCCTCCACTGGACTTTTCAACTCAAACCTAACTCTGAACCAAGATTTCTTCCCAACTTCAGTAGTGCGCGCACGCGCGCACACACACACACACACACACACACACACATTACTCTTATTTATAATGGTGGAAAACACTTGCTTCCCAAAGTTTAAGCAACTTTTGCACCTAGGAAAACGTATCTGCTTGCTTCTAGACGATTTTTCAAGAACAGTGTAATCTGTCAAAAAGTTCAAGCTAATAAGTTGCTTTTTCTTCCTTTTTCAATGTTAAAAGATACTCTGGCCTTCCCCTGTGCAGAAGTCACCAAATTCCTAGTGATTCAAACCGTGAAAATCTATTACTCTAATAGCCTGCTTCAGAAATGAACCTGTCTGCCTACTCTAACCCTTCCTAGCTAACATCTAACCATCTTTAAGGTTGCCAAAACGTAACACAACTAATGAAGTATTAAAATATAACCACATCAAGCTTTGACCAATAAGCCCTGTGAATATCCCGCCTGATTACTAAAACTTGAGCCTCATCACACCGAAATGACAATTTTATGTTGCATTCAAAACCCGGAACTGCTTTATCCATTCGTACTTAGCACTGGCTGACAAAGAGGAAAAGAACAGAAAAAAAAAAACCCCTCAAACCATGAAACCCCCAAATAAAGAGCAGACTCACACTGGGACACCAACAGCGCTGCAGCTCAAGGGATTAACGATGGAAGTGAGACCTGTCCGATATTAATAGCTCCCTGGGAAACAGAAGAATTCCCCCAAATCCAGTTGACACACATTCTGCATTCAACATTTAACAGCCATTCTGCGCACACCCTTGCATGTCAGGCTTCAATTCTGGTTACCAAAGTATGTTTCTGCACAGGGGTGCCTGGCCAGGGTTTTTCTGTTCTCTTTGTCTCGTGATGTGAGGGGCAGTTTCTGCGCTTGGGAAGTGAGTGTTAGAGCTGTGGTTTCCAGAGAATTGCCCACGGCATTTTAGCTCCGGCTTGAACGCTGCTTGGCTTTCCCCAGCCGGCTCCATATTGCTAGGCAGGTCCCTCCCGTCTCGCCTCACGTTCCAAAAAGCTGGATTTCCAGGCGGTTCCAAGAGCCCACTAAATATGCCTCCAACAACCTGCCCAAGCTTGGCTGGCACTGGACGCCGAGTTAGCGCCCCAGCGACCAACCGCCCCGAGGCGCACTTCCCCCACCCCGGAAGAGGAGGGCGGCAAACTTCGGCAGGGGGGGTGAGGGGACGAGCTCCGGGAACCAACGCCGCCTCGCCCGCCCCGGGGAAGGGCCGGGACAGAGACCCTGGCTGCAGCCGGAGGGCTGCGGGGAAGAGAGCGCTCCTTCCCGCTACGCCAAGGCAGCGGCCGGGGCGCTCTCGCCCGGTGAGGGGCCTCGGAAAACTGCAGCAAGGCGACAGCGGGGACCCTGGGAAGTGTGCGCTGACGGAGGGTCGGGGGAAGCCCGAGCTCGCCGGCAACTACGGGGGCGAACGCGACCGTCGGCGTGCGGGACCGGCTCGCAGGAGGACGGAGGAAACGGAGCCAGGATGGCCGGGACCTCGCAGGACGCCGGCCGCGCGCGGGGGAGTGCTGCCTGGCGGCCGGGTGATGCCCGCGGCGGGGAGGGCTGGTGGCCGGCCCGCTTCTCCCCGGCGGGGCTCTGCAGAAGCTGAAGCGGCTGCCGGTGACAGGAAGAGAGCCGGCAGCCGTGCAAGCAAGCACCGCCTCCCCCGCCCGAGCACACACACCCGGGGCCGCCACCGCCTACCTCCCCCGCCCGCCGGCTTCCTTCCTCTGCCGGCCCGCGCTGCAGCGACGGCCTCCTGCCCGCTCGGCTCCAACGCGCCTCCAACCCGGCTGCTACCCGCGGGCCGTGCCCGATCCGTGCTCGCCGTCTCCGACCGCTGGCCTGCCGCCCTCGCCGCGGCCACCGCTTCCTCCAACTCAGCTCCAGCTGCTCGCGACTCCTCTTCGCGAGCCGGCAGCTCCGGAGCCCAGCGCCGGCCCCGCCTCCGGCCCGGCCCCGCGCGTCCCGCCCCCGAGCTCACACCAACCAGCGCCTGCGGCCCCGCCCCTTTCCGCCCGCGGCTCTGCCCCTTTCCGCCCGCACCGCTCCGGCCTCGGAGCCGGCGGCCGGCGGTGGGGGAGTAAGCTCCGGCCTGGCGGACCCTTCCTGCCGCCGCCCTCGCCTTCCGCCCCCAGCCGCGGGGATGCCCCGGGCGGCAGTGCGGCGCGCTGCCTCCCCTGTGGCGTGCTCTGGCTCTGCGCGTCCCGGGCCGGCCCGGCGGCTGGGCGTCTCCCAGCGCAGAGGCGCAGGGGCTCGGGCAGGTCGAAGACAAGTTCAGACCTCCCTGGAGGCTGGCTGCGTCTCTAATCCGAGTGCCTTGCAGCCAACCCAGGCTTTTTCGAGCCCCTAGCGCCCTGGCTGAGTGGCTGGGGTGGGGAGGACTCGGATTCCAGAACTCGTCGACGCTGGGAGGCCCTGCGATGCCTGGTCTCGCCAGCACAGCCTCCCGAGTGGGCGGAAAACCCGCGCCACCGCGCCTGGCGCTCCGGGGTGAAGGAGGGGTGAAAAGGTGAACCGGAGGGACGGGCGCCCGCAGCCTGCCGCTGGCTGACTCCGGGACCTGGCAGCGCCGCCTCCGGGAGCCAGAGCGGGCCCGCGAGAAGGGAAGCGAGTTTTCTGCGGGCGTACGCTGGCTGATGCCTTCCAGTCCTGAGTGACAGAGCAAATGGAGGGCACTCAGGCAGACCACCAGCCCCTCGGCGTTGGCGGGGTCGGGTGGGGGAAGCTCAGGTGAATTACATTGTCTCTTAAAGGTGTCAGTTTTCAAATGCAGATTCTTCAAGTAATAATAATTTCCTAAGTTGCTCCAGAAAAATTGGATGTTGGTTCAAACCTTCCACTGATTGTAAGATGGAATGCCAGCACCCCGTGCTCCGCTCTTTCACTTGAAAACGTGAGAATCTGCTTTCTAAAAGTCTTTCCAGATTCTTTCTGCAGCTTGAAGACCTGCACCCGCCTACCCTACTTGTCCTAAAGCCCGTTTATAGCTCCCTCCCAATTTCCTTGCAAGAAAACTCTTTTTAAAAACAAACACACAAAACCCTAAGCCCTTGGCTTCTGTAAAACTTTGAATTTGGTGGTTTTTTCCTGTGGTAGTTGGAAGTAAAGGGAAGAACGTCCTGAAATTCATCGCCTATGCTTAAAAAATATCATTTCTAAAGGTGACTCGCCTTCTAACAAGAAAGTAAGCTCCACTTTAGACTATTCAGGCACTGGTGTTTCTATTGTTCCAAGATGTCTTTTTAAGAGGCGACACAAAAACGGGCAGCTACCCATATCATGTTTAAGAGTACCCTTAATCCAAAAATAAATATGAAATTTACCAAGGTACCTCCTTCACACCTGTGTGAAATGAAGGACCTCATGCATGCTTTGTCTGTACATGGAATGTCTCTTGCCTTGTAGTAGAATTACTTTCATCCAATCCAGTAAGCTGAGATGAAACTGCTGTGACCTTCACAGTATTTCCTTTAGGTTCCGCTCTGAGCAAAATGACAGTGAAAACCTTACCAGTTATATCCTCCTTTTGGAGATAGCTGGAAAGAGTCTTATGCACTATTACAGTGGGGTTCTGTTTACCCCAAAACCTAAAAACAATAAAATTCCCAAATGCACCTCCTCATTTAAACACAGGCTTTACTATTTATTTCCAGCATACGTTGCATTTTTTTTAATTATATTTGAACACATAAGTCTTAAGAGTGTCCCAAAGGAAGAAAATAAGGTTCTCTTTTCATATACTGAATAAATTGAGTATTTGTTTTAAACTGATGATATTTCCCTTCCATATCACTATTATTAGCATTTTTATTTTCACTTTCAATTGATTTCTGTGAAACAAAAGCAAAGGCAACAAAACAGCAGTGTTCAAACTTTTTTAAACATAATCTTTTTATTTCATAAAATCTAGTCTAGAATCCCAAAATACGACTGCTCTAAGGTACGAAGTCATGTAACAAGGCCAAGAGGCCCATTGCCCCACCGCCCTTCCTTTCTTCTGTCTAGAACCTCACGGTCCTTGGACTAGAAACATCTCCTGAGAATTTGTTGGAAATTCAAATTGTCCTCACTGAATCAGGAATGCTGAGGGTGGAGCCCAGCAATCTGTGTTTTAATAAGCTCTCCAAGTGATCTGATGCATGTTATGGTTTCAGAACGGTTGCTCTAGGGCTTCTGGAAACACTGACTGAAAACCTATTCAATAAAATGCTTGCATAAGTACCCAAACACCACGGTTCAGTCAGTAATAGCCAAACTTGGCTGGCAGGTAGTGACACCAGCAAGGAGCTCAAAATAGCAGAAGATACACAATTTGCAACAAAAGGGGTGATACAGGGATGTCACATACAAGGCATAAGGGTGAAGGTCGTTTGGAAGTCAGATATAGGAAGTCAAGGACACCTCCCCCCTCCCCAATATCAAGAAAGACTTTGGCCACAAGCTGAGAAAGAATCCTCCCCAAAGTATGGTAGGAAACTCTCATTTGGCATCATCATTCCATCTACATCAATACTGTGAGTGCTAGAATTAGCTTTCATTAGACTTGAAATCTAAGAATGTATCTTAGGGTTCAGGCAGGGCACAGTGGCTCATGTCTGTAGTCCCGGCACTTTGGGAGGCTGAAGTGGGCAGATCACCTGAGGTCGGGATTTCGAGACCAGCCTCGCCAGTGAAACCTCATCTCTATGAAAAAAAAATATATACAAAAATTAGCTGGGCACAGCGATCACATCTATAATCCCAGCTACTCAGGAGGCTGAGGCAGGAGAATTGCTTGAACCTGGAAGGCAGAGGTTGTAGTGAGCCAAGATCACACCACTGCACTCTAGCCTGGGCAACAGAACCAGATTCCATTTCAAAAAAATAAAAAGAATGTATCTTAGGGTGGGTTCAAAACCAACGTGAAATACATACAAATGGCTTAGACCTTTGCCTCTCAAGTGAGGCCCATAGACCAGCAGTTTTGGCACCATGTAAGAGTTTGTTGGAAAGGCAGAAGCCCCACCCTATTCCAGGCATACTTAATCACAATCTGCATTTTAACAACATTCTCAGGTGATTCCTATGCAAGTTAAATGTTGAGAAATTCTATCTCAGACAGGGATTCTCAATTTTCTCAACACATTGCAAATACCTGAAGAGCTTATAAAAGTCTCAATACTTGGTCTGCACCCCAGGTGGATTATATCAAAATCTCCGGGGTGAAATGCAGGCATTAGTAACTTTTAAAGCTCTTCATATTATTCTAATGTGAAGCCAGGTTTTAGGAACCACTGCCTTGGAGACGTCACTTAAGAAAGGTGCCATTAGAAAAGCCCTCTGGGTAGAGTAGAGTACAAATGCCTGGTCTTAAAGGGGACAGCTGATACTAGAATTTAGTTGATTGTTACCACAGAGAAATGTGAGCCCAGATTTTCCAATTTTCCTAGAGAAGCTGAAAATCCAGATTCTTCTGGGCAATTTTCCAATTATTGAATGCTGGTGATGAATTCAACATTTTTTGAAATATGGGTTAGGCCACATTCGTGTGATTTTTTTTTTTGAAATGTGAGTTAGGTTCATGGGAATTTATGATGCTGTACATCATAAAAGAAAGTGGGCTGAAAAAAATAGTCCCCCAAGAAGAGTACTGGCTTGTTGAAATGTCAGCCTGATGATCTAAAGACTCAAGTGTTTCAAATGTTCTGTTCTCTAACGGAACCGAACACTAGGCATTCAACAACTAGGAAGTGGTAATAGGTGAGATATTAATGCTTGCAACCCTGGGGAAAACATTATGGTCTGCTGTGCAATATTTTTCTTTTTTCTGCCTGCTAACTGATGTGTTGGGGGTGGGAGAGTGGAACCAATCTTTGCATTACTTAGTTTAAAATCTGCATCTGCAGCTATCGTGAGTTACCCAGGTTAAATACATATCAAGAGAAATACGAGGCTGGGTGCGGTGGCTCATGCCTGTAATCCCAGCCCTTTGGGAGGCCAAAGCAGGCAGACCACGAGATCAGGAGTTCGAGACCAGCCTGGCCAATATGGTGAAATCCTGTCTCTACTAAAAATACACAAAAATTAGCTGGGCATGGTGGCATGCACCTGTAGTCCCAGCTACTCAGGAGG